GTTTACTACCTTGTAGTGCATTCAGAAGTACTGTTGACACTTGCTTTAATCTGTGTTTTGTCCCGTCCATTACATGCTTGATTTTATGTTGTAATGTTGGACAATGACAGCATCCAGAGACACCTTTTCATCCACGTGAATGGATTTTCTCTTTCGGCAAATATTTTAATTTCTTAAAGGTAATAATGTTGACAAATAGGTGTATTAATACTTTAAATTATCTGTCAAACTTCTAAGTGTATATAAATGGAAACTGGCATTCAGTGGAGTTCATGAATTATTCAGTATGTTGTTTCTCTCTCTACACACACATGCATGCAATTGGTTAATAGAAAGAGGATGCAGTTGGTCACTTAGAAAGTCTGACAGCCCATTTTTTTTTAGACAGAAATCCAGAGCATAAATAGACATGAACATCTGAAGTATGAGAACTGATGTTTACTGCAGTTTCTGAAAGCACACCATCTGTTGGTATTCTGGATTGCCTTCATTCATGGCAGTCACTCTGGTGTAGCAGAGTTTATGAAACTCTGAATATTGGTAGGGATCACATAATCATGGTGCTTCCTGCAAAGCACTCCTGGATGGGATTGGTACATAAGTGAAAGTGCCACCTATGCTTCCTGTGCTCTCTGCGCTGGAAGATGAGGCTTTGGGTTGGATATTGTTATTCTGAATCAGTGTTTCTTTGTATCTTAACATTTCCTGTAGCTGAACTACCTTGGTTTTGCCTGCATTCTCTTTTTAGACACTATGAGGAACAGTTTGAGGACATGTGTTCAGGCCCATCTTAGTACCTGACCTGATGAGTTGCTTGCTTTCTTTTGGAATATGCTGGACCTTCCAGGGTGTGTTGCACTCTAGCCTTTGAAGTGGAGACTGTCAGGAATAGGTATTGGAGAACCTGGAGAAGGTCAACGTTTTCACTGTGGCATATGTGGAAGGAGGAGGCCATGGGAAAGCTAAGCATAATATCTGTTAATTGCCTCTTCTTACCCTTTTTTTCAGATACAAGGTGTGTGCCATATGCAGTTGCTGCATTTTTGTCACCTCTCTGAAACACCAATGTGTCATGAAAAGAATATATTAAATATAACTGCCTAGCTGTTCATTTTTATCCTTTGCATTTTGCAGATATATCCTTAGGAGACCCCAGGTTGTCAATGTTTAAATTGTAAACAATACAAATTAAATTTCAATTTCAGAATTTGTGGCTTGTGTGACAATATCAAAATACTTTACAAAACCTCTCGGGCCAAGCATCTCAAAGTTAAACTGTCTTCATCAGAATCTCAGTATTGATAAGTAGTAGCTTTATCTGTAAAACTATGAAACACCTTTGCAGTGAAAACAATTACCTTCTTTCCATGTGAAGTAAAGGCCTTTATTCTTCTTTAATTGCAGAGATAAATAGATGGATTCCATGTTTTTGCTTGAAGGTAGGTGTATTAAGTTGGACATTGAATCATAGATTTTTTTGGGAAATCTTCCTGTTTCTGTATCAAAAGGCTATGTTTGACAGAGACATAGAAACTGTGGTTGGCTATTGTGACAGCGGGGAGGGTATCATACCGTATTATATAGTACCTGGTTTGAAAGCCTCTCAAATTCCATTTGCAAGTGAAAAGATTAATTCACAGATAGCCTAGAATGCTGCTGTGTTGCTTTCTGAATCATCTACTTCCTTAAGCAGACTTTGCTGTTTGTATTGGTTTATCTTCATGATAGTCTGCGAGCTTCTTACCATAATTCAGTCGAACAATTGTGACAGTCACCACTCTGTGATTCTTACATGCAGCAGGAGTTGGATTGAATTGCAGGTGATCCTAATTTTTAGAGCTCTGTATTTTCTAATGCCACAGAGCCAAAGCAGTTGGATTATTTAATAAGTAGAGATTTCAGAAGCTTACCCTAGCCAGGGCATTAGATGTTTTTTCCAGGAGTTCAGTGTCTTGATTTTTCTCCTGAAACTGGTTTGTTTGGTTTTCTATTTGATGTTTGCACAGTACCAGTGGCAGTGCGACTTTGCTTCTCCTAGTTGATGCTTTCTAGTTCTGTATATCCAGGTATGGACTAGCTTAAGTCCTTGTCCACTTGTTTCCCACCATTATGTCTAAGTTCTTGGGCCACATTTTAATTTGTAGTAATGTTTTTGGCAGAAACAAAAGTGAGGTCTCGCTGTTTGTCTGTAGATTGCTTTAGTTAAGAGGTGAATTTTTTGACGAATGGTATGAGTGTTTGGTTTTGTTGTTGGTTTTTTTCCCCCCTCCCTCAGTCTTTAAATTTATGCAGTTACTCTTGTTCTTTCAACCTTTTTGATGTGAGAGTCAACTCAGGTGTGAACTGAAAAGACCCTTGTTTGGGGATGACTGTTAATTAAAAGTTGTTTAAGAATGTAACCAATGTTACTCAGAGTATGTCCTATACTCACTTTCCTCAACAGTATTCCATAGTTCAGACATTATATATTGCCAAGTCAAATGCTTTATATAGATGTCTGTCTGCATTATTTTATTTAGTAGACCTGTAATCCAGTTTTCCATTAAAAACATTCATGAGAAGCTTGTGCTAATGTTCTAGCTTATGGGGTCTCAGCAGCATTGTTTATAATCAAAACAAATGTACCAGTTGAGATGCAGAGCTCCTGTTGCTTTGTGTAAATAATACTTGCAGTTAGCAAGATCTGCTTCCAAAAAATACTGGCCTTGTAGGTAAGTGGATGGAAGAGGTTTTCTCACCTTGTCTGCCCCATGTCTTAATGCAGAGTCAGTAATGGCAGTTAGACTCAGTGCTATCAGATGAGTGATAGGTTAGGACCCTATTCACACTGACTTTCTTTGTAACAGAAATGTGATCTTGCTAGTAGAGTTTCAGTAGTAGCAAAGATACTCAGTCATCTTCAGAGTTCAGTGTCATGTCAGTCAGGGTAGAAGACACTGGAAGCTTCAGAAGGCCCAATCTGTACAAGTGTTTTTTGCTGCTGTTGATAGAGCTGCATCAGCAGAGCAGCATTGCAGATTGTGCAGTGGGAAAAAGCTAGTAGAGGTGCAGTTGTGGCTGTACTTGCTTCAGAGCAATGTGATACTTATTTGATACTTACTGTGTGCTTAGATCCATGAAAAGGTGTAGTGGTAGTGCTTATGTCAAAGTGCTGAATTGCAAAAAAGATTCCAAAGCTGTAGCTCCTTTTAGATAGCTGGAGCTTTACCTGTGACTGGCCTTTCATGCAAAGGGGGGCGAGAAAAGTATGAAAGGAAAAACGTAGTGGTATCTAGTGGGCTTCTTGCATTGATTCAAGTTTCCTTAAGGTTTATTTGTACTGTTTGCAGGTGAGAGGGGAAAAGAACAATATAAGGACTCGCTTCACATGGCATGTAAATAAAAGGAAGCCTCTTTCTAGTGATTTAGTGAAAATAAGTTAATGAAGGTTTTTGTATGTCTGTTGATCTATAATTCCACTTCAGCAGATCTGTTATTCTCTTTCTTCCTAGGTTTTCAAACTCACAGTGTGTTGCACTAAGAAAGAAACAATTTCTATATGGGTGCAAATTAGGAACAGTACCTTTAAGTACCTGGGGAAGTAGACGGTGTTAGAGGCTAGTTTTAAAAAGTAGAGATATAAGAATTAGATCAGTGTTTATCAGGGTGGCCAGCAGTGATCCATGACACACAGTAGGTAAGTCTTGTGACTATGTGAGTACCCATGTTTTCACTGGCGTGCTGACTGAGCAGTGTTGATAACTGCAGGAAGGAGCATCCTCAGGCTTCTGGGAGCTGCAGGCCGAGTTTGGAACATTTTTAAATTCTGCAGTGGTTGACTCCATGTCTGGATCTGTCTGAGTCAGAATGTTCGGTCTCGGTTTTGCACAGGAGTGGCTGTACAAGGTTACACCGGAAGAGCTAGCCTGTCCTCTGGCATATATGAAGACATGTATGTAGAAATGTGTATAGTCTCTGCAGACCTGTTTCTTGGGGTCTTTGAAAGTAAAACTGAGAAGATAAATACAGGACATAAGCTACTGAACAAGAATGGGGAGTGTGGAAAGAGGAGTGTAGGAGTGAGCTTTTCTGTAAATGTTCCGGTGCAACATACGGTGTTATATACAACAGAGCTGCACAGCTCTGTCATTTCTTAGGTCACTGATACCTCAAATCTGTTACATCTGCCTCTGTCCTTGTTCTTAATCTTAACTTTCCTTTGTACTTGCTGTTTTCTGGGCTACATCTGGTTCTTCGTTTTGGAATTGAGATGTCTTTATGTGACCCTACATATAATTTACGTAGTGTAATCTCCCCTGTTTTAAAAGGTCATGGACCAGAGCATTCTTCAAAAGAAGTATTAGATACTGCTGGTTATTAAACAGTGCAGCTGATCTGCCTTTTGTATGTTCTCTCTTTTCTTCCTGTCCTTCCCCAATTTGTATGAGAGAAATACTATTGGAGAAAGTGAGATTCCAAGTAAAAATGGAGTAAAATATTCTTTGTCTCCATTACAGTTTTCATGCTTTACTTATTTCCTTGGCTCTCTAAACTGATGTTACTTGTGACTACAGGCGTTCATTGCTTAAGGAGACAGTTCTTTTGCTTTCAGAAAAACTACTTACTAAGATTGGATGGATTGCTCTGCCTGTAAGCAGGAAATAAAGTTTAAAGATCATGTTGTTTGTAGGAGAATATCCAATGAAACTTGGTTCCTTGGTGGTAGGGAGCTTTTTGGTTTTTTGAGCTTGGGGAAGGAATCGTTTTTGAATTAAAGTGTTCAGATGTTTGACTTATGGCTCTATGTTTGTATGTGCACAGCATGACCCGAAGAGAGTTGTGTAACAAATTGAGAGCTGCCATTCCTGAAATAAACACTAACATTCCCTCCTAAATACATTTTGATGATAACCCTTTCAAACAGGACTTCACATGATGCGTGTATGGAAATAAAGTGCAACTCTGTGTGGTAATTATTTGAGGGTATAGGAATAACAGTTTAATTTCTCTTTTCAGTATGATGCTGTTCCAATCCAGTCTAGCGTGGTGTTATGCTCCTGTTCATCCCCATCAATGGTGAGGAACCAAGCAGATTCCAGCGCTCCATCTGTCATTTCCACCTGTGGCAGCAGACAGGGATCTAACATGGAGGGCACTGCAGCTGAATCGAGATCCAGTTCAAATTCCTTGCAGCAACATACAGGACAGCAGCCTCCACAGCCTCGAAAGAAACGACCCGATGACTTCAAATTTGGGAAAATTCTGGGTGAAGGATCTTTTTCAACGGTAACGTTACTTTTTATAAGTGCCAAATCTCTTTTTTGAAAATGAGCTTTAATATGCGTTCCTCAAAAAGCTTTTCTCTTTAAGAATGTAGAACTGCTTGCCTGAAACTTCATCCCTTGCTTCTACTAGTTGGGAATCTACATTCCCTTTAAAACGTTTTCCTAAAAAGCTGTAAATGGTTGAAAGCTCTGTCTCATTTCCTACTTTTGATCTTTTAGGTAAAATTCAATCTCTCAATATTTGCCATTTATATTAAGGAAAAGTACTGTGACAGCTAGATTTTTATAAATATCCTTCAGTGCACTTGTTGCTTTTTTTCCCCCTTTAAGAAGCTTTGGCAATTTACTGTGGCTTGTGTTACAGTCTTCAGAATTCTGGGGGGAAAAAGAAGAGCAAATTGATGTTTACCCAGTTGGATTTTTTGCCTTCTAGCAAAAAAAAAATGTTGTTGTGCTGAGCTGAATATCTGCAGGTGTCTTGCTGAAGCCAGCATAATATGAAATATGCTTAAATATTATGCTGCTTGCAGTTGTGATAACTTATTTTGGACAATCGATGTTCTAAATACCTACTGAATGATCAAAATCCACGTTAGTGTGTCTTTAATGAAAGCCGTTAGTGTGTGTCTTTAATGAAAGCTTACAATACATTCTCTTTCCTCTGGCGACAGGTTGTCTTGGCTCGAGAATTGTCAAGTTCTAGGGAATATGCCAGTAAGTACTGACTCCTTCAACATAAACTGTTTGCAAATACAGTCTTAAAGTAGTGCTGTTACAACACACCTGTTCAAAGGACAGAATTAGTGGGTTTATGACAATTCTATCTAACAAAAGCATGAAGCAGACCAGGCGGGTGACTGGGGTGGCTCCGTGGGGCCGCAGCTCCTGACTGCACTCTGTCTTCTTTTCATGAAGTTAAAATCCTAGAAAAGCGTCATATCATAAAAGAAAACAAGGTGCCATATGTGACACGGGAGAGAGACGTAATGTCCCGCCTGGACCACCCTTTTTTTGTGAAACTCTACTTCACCTTTCAGGACGATGAAAAGCTGTGTATCCTTTGGATTTTCAGACTTGCTGTGACGCTTTCTTCAAAGAAACAATCCCCACTTTGGGTTTCTTTGAGACTTTGTCTAACAGGAATGATGAAAATAACTCCAGGTATTTAAAATAGGCTCCTGTTTACGATACCGTTTTTGCAGTCATGCTTGTAATAGAGATCAAGCAAATGGTTTGAGTGTGCCCCCCCCCGGAGCAGCTTGCGGGATAGGGGAGATGAATAAAACAATAAAAAGCATAGATGGGTCTATTGCTGGGGTCAGTAAGTTGTGTTTTGCACAGAGGCTGCTAGCAGTTCTAATAGGCCCTGTATCTGTGCATGCATATAGCCATGCACTAATAGAACTTACGCTGTCTTTTGTAATGCAAACATTTGCTCTGGAACTTTCCAGATGATGGGGCAGTTTTAAACTTGGGTTGAATGTTTGTTATGACTCAAATAGCTCTCTTTGAGGGCAATTATATACACAGTTTAAATGAATTATTCAGGTCACTGTCTGGAAAAACTACAGAATTAACCATTTATGCAATAGTCTTCTCCATGCTAAGGACCTGGGACTCAGGTCCTAGGTTGTTAATATATCCAAGAAATTGTTCTGGGTTGCTGCCATTTAAAGTTTCAGATGTACCAACTTCTCTTCTTCCCCATTGTTCATGTATGTTTACTATTGTTCTTGTCATTGGAATGAGGTGTGAGGACTTTTATTTTGGATGGTTTAGTGATAGACCTTAACTAACTTATACTCAGATTTTGGGCTTAGCTATGCCAAAAACGGAGAGCTGCTGAAGTATATACGCAAAATTGGCTCGTTTGACGAGACCTGCACCAGGTTCTATACTGCTGAAATTGTATCAGCTCTGGAGTATTTACATGGGAAAGGAATAATTCACAGGTAATGACAAAGTTGAAACCAGTATGCATTTGATGATGCACAAGGTGTTTTTCCTGGAAGCGTTCTTTGTGAAGTCTAAAGCAAATATAGATTTTGTGGAAAGCTAATGAGAGACTAGTAGCATTTCATTAGCATTAGTATTGTTGGTAACATTGGGAGCCAAACAAAGACAACTTGCAGAGGAGAGCCGATCTCTGTTACGAGACCAACTATTCCAGTAGGGAAAAAGTAAGAAGTTTTACTTTTTTGCCTAGAATTAACATTACCAGAAGTTTGTCGTTTTCAAGATTGATCAGTTGGTGTAAACCAGAAGATGACTTTTTGTTTAAGTACGTTTCTTCTTTCTGTGGTGTTACATACCAGAAGTAACTAGAATTCTGCTGGTGTGTGAGTCGGTGTGCGGCGTGTCATCAAGAAAAGGAAAATTAATGTATGTCAGTGAACAGTTTCCAAAAGCTGAACCAGTAACTGGGCAAATGGTAAAATTCAGCAAAGTTTTTACCAAGACCTTCACAGTCGTTCTTGATGTAATTACATTGTCTGGATAAGGTGCATTGTAATTCATGTTTGTTAACCAACTTAAAGCTGTAAATGTGAGAAATCTGAACTGCAGAACTTCTTTTTGGGTAAGAATTCTTTTGCATCTCTAGGTTCCCAAGCAGTTGTTCAGGGAACAGCGGATCCTAATTGGCAAAAAGATGGCTAATTATAATTCTGACAGTAGTATTACTTCTTTCAGTTACATTTAAAAGGACAAAGTATTTTCCTAATACTTTCCTGTGAAATAATTTGGAATAGAATCTAAGGGGGCTGGATGTGGAGAATACCAAAAGCATAGAATTTTCTTCAGGATTAAAAAAGTTCCAGAATTCCCAGTTTCACTTTAATTCTATAGCCCACGTGTTAGGCTGGAGAATGCTAATAAAATTGCTATAGCATGATTGTCAGTATTGCTAAGCCTATATTGGAAATCTTGTCTTAGGAAAGAGCTTCAAGTCTTTCTAAAAAAAAAACCCAAAAAACCAAACCCCACCTTAATGAATGGGCTTTTCACAATCTGTCAGCAGTTTACGTGTTGACAGCTCCAAGTTAGGGGAAAGTTGACACAACAATGTTTATTGAATACCTGCATCATTTATGGAAGCGTTATGTACATAAGTCACTAGACAGTTTTGTACCTTTAATTTGTGTGCTCTTTAAATACAAGAATCTGCCTTTTCCAGGGACCTTAAGCCAGAGAACATCTTGCTAAATGAAGATATGCATATTCAAATAACAGACTTTGGGACAGCAAAAGTATTATCTGCAGACAGCAGACAAGGTATGCCATTATTTACTTCATCCTGTGACACACATAACTGTAGCAAGTGTTACTTTGAAAGTGTACCAGATTGTAACCTTCAAATATTATTGCCTCTTATGTAACAAAATCACTGAGAGATCTTGAAACAGTTTTGGCTGTCACTGCTTAGATTATGTCAGAAGAGGTAGTATTTGGTGTAGTGGTATAGTCAGCTAGATCACCCAGTATAGTGGGAAGTTCAGCTACTTCAGATTACTTTTCAGTTGCAAGACAAGAACACAAACAGGTACTGTGGCTTAACTGAAACAGTTCTCTGCTTATGTGTTTAAGTCCAGTGACTGATTATCAGAGTTGCTCAAATGTAAGAGTTGTAGAATTCATGTGTCACTAGCTGTTGAGTGTTAACCTGTGACTCAGTGATGCTGCATACAGTGCCTGGAAAAAAGCACCAGGCTGAGCTGAATTTGATAAACTTTATTTTTTACTTGAACAAAGTAAGCTTGTGTTGGTAGATTTTATACCTAGCAAAGTGCCCAAATGCCTAGCTTCCTGAACCAAATAGGTATCACTGAGATTGATTTGGCTCTTCCATTTTGTGCATGGGCAGAGAAATGAAATTCCTTTGGGTTCTTTGTAGTATTACACAACTTGCAATAGATAGCCTTAGTCTTGTGGTTTGTTTTGTTGTTGTTGTGGGGTTTTGGTTGGTTGGTTTTCTTTGGTGGTTGGTGTTTTTTTTGTTTTAATTGGGTGGGAAAGGGGGAGGTTGGCTTCTCTATAAGTATGAGTTGGCTTATTTCTTTCCATTTTCTTACCAGCACGGGCAAACTCGTTTGTAGGGACAGCACAGTATGTTTCTCCAGAGCTGCTGACAGAGAAATCTGCCTGCAAAAGGTGAGGACTACTGTATTTCAGAGCTTCACCGACCCAGTGAGGGCACTGTCAGATGGGGGGAAGGGATACATTAAGCAAACTGAGTATTTCAAAGAAACAAGGTGCTCAAGTATAAATATTTTTTAAGAGTTTGAAGTACCTTTTTCTGCACAAGTATTGTTGCTTGTCTGAGTGCAGGTTTCCTCAGTTCATCTGCCTTCCGGAGTTCTACAGACAGGATCAGGTGCTGTCAGGAGAAGGTGGTGTGTAATGTGCAGTTTAATTTCTCTTACCCATAAATAAATAGGAACACCTTTGTCTGTTATCCGGATACTATACTTGCTTTAATTCTGTTTTATATAAGCTTGCTCTAAGATGCTAATCCGTGCTGTAAAACAACAGAATGTTAGATTCTGTCAGTTAAGGGAAAGGCTACAGCTTTCTTTGACTTGTATTTAAATCAGCTAACAGTTCTCTCTGCTAAACTCTGCTTGAGGTTTGCAATGGCTTTATAGCTCATCTTTGTGCCTGGCGTGAGTGATACACATAAGGAATTTCTCTCATTTAAATTAGTTCATGATGGTAACTTCTAGACTGTTGTATATCTATTTTATTACAATGATGGAAGAATAAGCATAGTAATCACTGACAAATCACAGGGAAAAAGATATCTTGTATGAATAACTGTGACAATTTGTGCTGCCGTTTCTTGAAATAATAGAAATACCATTAGACTTCTCACTTTGGCTTCTTGTAAGGATGTTTTGGCTGATGGAAAGACTTATGAGGCTATCATCTCCTTTTAGAAGTTACATAATGCTTCACTTTACAGAAGACTCTTAATTTGAGTGGTTTTGAGTCTTTATTAGTATTTTAGTCTTCCATTTCTAAGCTTTAATCCAATCTATGTAAAGTTTTCCTGGAGGGAAAATGTTAAAAATACTCCTTCAGGCCAACACACTAAAACTTGAGACTTTCCCTCACCCATGTACCATATAGCCTGGCTTTTTGTTTAAGGAAAGCTTTACCTGAAAAAGTTGTAATGTGACACTTTCTCCCTCTCCACCCCCAAAAGAAATACTCTGAGGGAAAGATTTCAGTTCTGAAGGAGCATATATTGCATTGTTGGATGCATCTTTGAATTGTAGTAGTGGATAATAAGTATTCTTTTCCGTCTCATTACATACCCATTGACTGTTTTGGCTGAGCATTCAGTGGTTTTGTAGCTGGTTGTTGTGGGATGGTTGCAGTATACTTGCTTTTAGAGTTTTGTTGCTAGCCTACTCTTCTGTCAGGGATGAAGTGAAACCAGTGTGGAGATGGTGGCAGTTTGTCTCGTGTGCTCGTGCCATGTTCTAACTAGCAGAAGCTGAAGAACTTTTTTAAGACTGCAGTCTAAAGACTTCCTATAGGAAAGCATAATATGTGTTTTTTCCTCTTTCATTTGAAGCTCTGACCTCTGGGCTCTGGGATGTATAATATATCAGCTGGTAGCTGGATTGCCTCCATTTAGAGCTGGGTAAGAGATTTAAACTATTTCTTTACACATGGATCATAAATACATTGATTTGGGTTTGGTTTTACCTTGCTGCCAGTTCTGAAGTACAGCTTTTCCCAGTGCAGTGTTGGTGTTAATGTCACGCCTGCTTCTATTTGTCCTTTTTGATGTCATGAAGATGCTTAGACAGCTGTAACTAGAGTTCCTGAGAGAGATTCCTTAATTTATTCTAGGGTTTCACATGTAATTTATACCATAAAGGTAACTATGCCTACATGGAGAGGGTACGAAGCACCTCTACATTGAGTCCTTTGAACTGTTCTTTGTTGTTATTCAAGTATCTGGTGTTTACAGGATCATAGATACTTGGAAGACTGCACTCCTTTACGCTAGAGACATTTGTGGGAATGTGACTTAACTTGTAGATCTCCTGTTCAATATATGTCCAGGTTATGCGCTGTTAAGGTGAAAGAACCATGGAGAACTAATAACAAGAGCTAATATTTTTCTCTTTTGCAGAAATGAGTATCTTATATTCCAGAAGATAATAAAGTTGGAATATGACTTTCCAGAAAAATTTTTTCCCAAGGCAAAAGACCTTGTTGAAAAGCTATTGGTAAATATTTGCTGCTGTTAAATTATTTGATTACATTGGAATGTAATCAGCTTATGTAATTCTCTTTTCCTAAAGTTTTATGCACTCTATTGCAAACCCTGTAATAAGAAAGAGTGTGAGCATTATTGACTGCGTAGGGGAGTGTCTGGAAAATCAGCATCCATTGCTGAACAGCACTTAGTTATTTTAAGTCTGAATTCTAAAGTGTGGATAAGGAATGCCTCTCAGTGAAATGCACGTAAATGGTTCTAAATACATAAATAACACAGAGAAGTTAAAACTCAAATGCATAGATAGTTCTCAGATTAATTGTTGTTGAGTTGTATGATGAGTTTTCTGTACATTAAAGGGAGATATATTCATTACAATGTAAACCTACTTATCTTGCAATTTATTATGCGCTTGCCTTGCACTTAATGCATGTCTCAGTAGTATGAGCCAAAGAGTTACTCTGCATGGGTATGTTTGACAGGTAGGAAGAAAAAAAGAGTTCTATCTCATTAGTGAGATATAACCATAATGCTGAAATGAATATGCAGAGAACATTCTGGGTGGTATAAGCTTTTTGGAGCTCAGTAGTCTACTGTATGAGCATGGTGTAGGAGGAAACTCTTAATGTCTCTGGATGATGATGAGTGCAACCATTGTAAAGGATCTAGGAGCATGTTCCTCTGTCCAGACCAGCTCTATGACCAAGACAGTGCATGCTGAAGGGTAAGGTCCAGGTTGCATCAATATGCTGAGAAGTGTGCAGTTTTAAAGTGCTTGAGAAGTTCATCTTTGACACCAACTATAGCTCCCATAGCTGCTTGCATCACTGGAATGTGATGCTGGGCTATACTTAAATGAGCTGTGCTCCATCAGGACTTAATGAAGAAACAAAGCCAAAAAATTGTGTGAACCCGAAGAGGTGCTCCTTTCTTTAGATCTGTGAGCTGGTCTAATACAAAATGTTTCTACAAGGCATACTGATAAATAACATCTTGCATTTTAAGCAGTCTCCTTATGTTCTAGTGTTGTATGCTTCTGACCAACTGGTTTTAATTTTTTGCATGCTGCTGTGCAAGTGCGAATGGTGCTCACCCCTTCCTTGTTGTTGTTTTAACTTACAAGTGTAATTTGCTCAGGTTCTAGATGCCACCAGCAGGTTAGGTTGTGAAGAAATGGGAGGATATGGACCTCTTAAGGCTCATCCCTTCTTTGAAACCATTGTGTGGGAGGACCTACATCTTCAGACACCCCCAAAACTTACAGCGTATTTACCTGCTATGTCAGAGGATGATGAAGACTGTTACGGAAATGTATGTTTGCCTACTGCTCTATTCAGCTCTGATGCTGGCTGAGACTTTAAGTAAAGCAAAATTATTGCATATGAAATATTTTATTGAAACTACTTATATTTTAATGGAAACTCAGTTATTAATAATCTAATATAAAATTGATGGTTACAATTTGATTTCTTCCCCCCTACCCCTGGTGAAGTTAGTGTTTGAAAAAAATACTGCTTGACTTGCTCTTGACAAGCATACTTCTTCCTTCTTTGGATAAGTTGATCTTGTTCATCTATAGAGAGCAGGCTGTCTTTTTGCCCATGAAAAACAGAAGCATGCTTAAATTGCAAGGTACAGTTTAGTGCAAAATAAGCTTTTTAATCAAAGGAATTACTTCATTTTGTTTCCTCCTTTAGTATGACAATCTCCTGAGTCAGTTTGGTTGCATGCAAGTTTCTGGTTCTGCCTCTTCCCATTCACTGTCTGTCCCAGAGACAAGTACACCACAGACGTCAGGAGGAAATATTGAACAGTACATTCATGATCTTGACAACAATTCCTTTGAGCTGGACTTACAGTTTTCTGAAGATGAAAAGAGGTTACTTCTAGCAAAACAAGCTGGTGGAAATCCTTGGTAAGATCTTGGAATACGACTCGTCTGTTACTTGCAGAGCAGTAAGGAGTCCATCTTAATGCCTTCAAGCAAACAATTAGCAACTATGTTTTTGTTGAATTCTATTTGTAAAGCAACAGCAGCAAAAACCTGATGTTATGTTTCTAAAATTTACAAGGTCTAGAAGGTGTTGTGGAGTATGTTTGTAGGATAGGCAAGAAACGGTGCTGTGCCAGAGAAGTCTTCCCTCTGCAGAGACCTAGAACTAGAAAAGGTTCTTTCTTTCTTAACATTGCCATAAGTGGTTTATTTTTAATGATATTCTGTTGAGACCTCAGCAAAATACCTCCATATCATGTAATTATTAGTGTTTCTCTTCACTTTTGAGAGGAGTTTCATTTGTGATCATTTGTGTTTTCCCCCTGCCACCCCACAGCAGATTTTAGAAAAAACTCTCTGGGTTGGAATGAGGAAGAGTCCAAAACTCTTCTAGTAAAGTTGTTCAGGACTCCTTGCTGGAAAAGGAGACGATAGGGAGAGGCATGGAAAATTGCTTGATGAGAATAATAATAAACAAAGCTGCTTCTGTGGCAGAATTATTTCTGGAGCAATAGGCTTTTTCCTTTTTCTTTTTTTTTAGGCATCAGTTTGTAGAAAATAACTTAATCCTAAAAATGGGTCCAGTGGACAAAAGAAAGGTAAGGGCTTCTCTTAATTTCCTGTAACAAGATTCAGCTGTCGCATATTTGCACAGTTGCACATAGATAAGGAACCTGTTTCAGAGCTTCCTTGTTTAACTTATTTGAAGTATCAAATTGTTTTGTTTGTGTTTTAAATCTAGTATTGTGAATAGATTGTGTTTTCTTAATTTAGGGGTGTGCTCTTGATTTTTGGAAAAGGCTAAAAGTGTGCTATTGATACTTTCATTTTGAGACTGTAGTGAAGGAGTTTTTGTCCTCCCTTCCCAGTCTGATACAGTCCATAAGCACTTTGTCTCAATACATGTCTGCATGTGGATCGAGCCACAGTTATCAGAAAATAAAATGCAAGCCCATATTGGCCTTAACTGTGGTATTTTTCCTGGATATGACTAGTGCCTGTATCCTGAGAGACGCAGAGGTGATGTTAGGAAAACTTCTAAGTATTAAGTTTAACGTGGGACAGATGAACAGCTACAGTCTGCATCAGCTTTACAGGACTGTAGGTTGTCTTTCATCTAAGCTACCACCTGCTTGTTCCTACTATTTTCCACAAAATCATGAGCATCGATTTCTGTGCTGGAATCTTTGACAAATAGCTTTTGCTTCACTCTGTACAGCTAGTTGTTTTATGTTAGAACTTGAAGATGCTTGCTGAAAGTAGTACTTACGTTTTGCCGTGTGGCAGGGATGCACTGCAAGCAGGAATGCACTGCAAGCCCTAGAAAACGAGTGAGGTCAAATAGGTAAAGCAAAAGGAAAACAAACAAAGAAAGGCCCCTCAAACACAAATGTACGATCCTATCACTGAACTGTTGTAATTGTACCTCTGTTGTTAAATTCAGGTACCTACGCTTTTTTTTCCTCATGCCTTTTTTGCATTGCTGCTGTTTCTTTTCTTATTAGGGATTGTTTGCACGTCGGCGCCAGTTGCTGCTCACGGAAGGGCCCCACTTGTATTATGTGGATCCTGTCAACAAGGTTCTAAAAGGAGAAATTCCATGGTCTTTAGAGTTGCGGCCAGAAGCCAAGAATTTTAAGACCTTTTTTGTTCACACGGTAAGTTACTTTCTTCCATGTCTTTGAAAGTTGCACTGAAGTTCTGAGACGATTGTTGTAAGTTGTTAACAATCAATTTTTTCTGGAGAAAATACAATTCCTTAAATGCAAGTGTTGATGGTCTTAATTTATAACAAAAAAAGACACCGATCCCCCCCCGCCCAAGGCCAACAAAACAAACGAACAGCAACCACCCAATGCACACATTTCCCACAGAAATACACGGTTTATTATTCGTGTGTAAATACACTGTAAGTGGGTCTGGGGATTTGAAGGAGGTTTTTAAGAAGGACTTAAAATGTAGCCCTTTCTGTATACAGTGGTTCATAAGGAGTAAACCAACAACATATGGGCAGTTGACTGCTTAACAATGTTGAGATGCCAGATGTATGGTTATTCAGTAATAGTGTTATATAACTAATTGAATTAATTTTAGGAAAGTTTATTAATTGATTCTGAATAATTATTTCATTGATAGATGCAGAGTAATTACTGCTTTTTTGGTTAAACTGTATTTGGAGTACTCATTACAATGTTGTTCACTTGTAGCCAAACAGGACATACTACCTGATGGACCCGAGTGGGAATGCTCATAAATGGTGCAAAAAGATACATGAAGTTTGGCGGCACAGATACCACCAGAATGCTGCTAAATAGTAAAGCTTATCCAAAACTTCCCAGTTTCCCTACTTGCTGCTAGAACTCCATGTGCAGCCGATCAGAGGAATCTTTTCAACCCACCTATTACCATCTCAAGGGGAAGCATATGTCTGAAATGTTCTGCTTTCGGGTTTTGTTTTGTTTTGGTTGGTTGTTGGTTTTTTGGTTTTGGGTTTGGTTTGTGGGTTTGGTTGTTTTTTGGTTTTTTTTTTCTTCTTTGTGGGCTTTTTTTGTTTTCATTTTTTGGGTGTTGGTTTTTTTGTTTTTTTTTTTTTTTCCCCCCTCCCTGGGTTGTTGTTTGTTTTTTTGATTTTTTTTTTTTTTTTTTTTTTTAATTTTGTTGTTGTTGGGTTTTTTGTTTTGTTTTGGTTTTTTTTGGTTTTGGTGTTTTGTTTTGTTTTGTTTGGGTTTTTTTGAAAGAAAAAAAGCAAAAACCTAATGGAATTCAGGGTCACTTTGCTTGCTCATTGTGCTTCTGTTGAGGCTTCCACATGCATATCATTGCAGTGAAGATCTTGCTTTTGTGCACTTCAGCTCAATTTCTGCTGCAGACTAGTGGGTAGACCTTGCATTCCAGCTTCACTTAAGATGAGTTAAAACCAATCCACACGCACACACGCCGAATCATGTGCCAGCCTTGCATTTTATGGGGCTGGAGTTGTCTGTGAGTTTCAGATTATCATTAAACTGTATTTCATCAGGGAGCTTTTATATGCCTCTCCTAAGCACCACCTCTTTGTTTTCTCTTCCTTTCCTCACAGTCCCCCAGCTTATTGGTATATGGCATTTGTAGCCAGGTCAGTCGCACCCTTGTGTAATTCCTAATATAGTTCTGGTTGCAGGATTTATGTGGTACTTCAGTAATTATGTGAATGAATCAGATGTATGTGTCTGGCAGACAGGCTCCAATGATGCAGGTTTTAAGAGAGTAAAATGCTGAACACGGCACTAGAAGTTTTCTAAAATTGAAATGTTGGCGTCTGAAGCATAGATGATTTTAAAGATTCGATTTAAATTTTAATATGAATCATGTGTTTAATCAAGGGACAATAAACTTACCAGCATGCTTTTAACTAATGCTAACTAAAAGATTAACTAGTTAGTACTGGGGGGGAGGGTTGCTATTGAAGTAGTAAATAGTTTTTCACCTTTTCAGGAGGTAAGGGCTAGATGCTTTCTTTCCACGGTGTGCATGTACTGCGCATTTTAGTGGGGCCACCCTATTTACCTGGGTAGAGAAGGATGTATGAAAGCATTGTACAATTGATTACTTGACTTTTTTTATCTCATTGTGTAATGACATGTACAAATAATACCATTTTTGGTCCTTGGCCAAATATTTAGCAACTCTGAAAAAAATGTAAGCAATTGAAATATTAGGTCCATATAGTAATCTGGTTAAAAATTCAAAGGAAATTATTGCTGCAAAGGGGAAAATACATGGTACTTAAGGCATATCTATAAAATGAAAATATTTTGCATATCAATCCGCTTTATCCTCTTCAAATTAACGGGTTTTTTTTGTGGTCAAACATTTCTTGTAATGTTGCAAAGACATAACTTTCTATGTGCTGAAAACAACTTCCCTAATGGCATTTTCAACATGCCTGTGTTCCTGAACCTTGCAGAGAGGAATGACCTAGGTCTGGACCAAAGGCATTCCCTCTTGTTTTAAAAGCAGTATAAACATCACACCTATTTATTCCTTTTCTACACATACAAACTCTTTGCATTTTGAGGTCTCTTACTATGACGTTTTTCCTTCCACCAAAGAAAAAATGTGCCATTGCAGTGCTGGAAAAACTCATGGGCTGCTGTTCTAGAAGCAGTATTTCAAAAGCAGTGGTTTATCAGGACTTCTCGGAGAACACATGAATGTTGGTATTTTGTTGTTGCACGGGGTGAAGGAGATTTATTATTTCTCAAACTGTTACGTGTTTGAACGTAACAATTCAGCTTTTTCAGTATCTTCAATTCTTTAAAGGAGCGAGTGCATTTGCTTTTTCTTTTGGAGGAAGTGCATTCTTGTAGTCTTCTGTTATCCCCCTATGTACGCAGACTTGACAAAAGTAAATCACTGGCCTGCAGTGCCTGGTGTTAAGAGAGCTGAGGTGGCCTGTAAATGGCTGAGATGAGCAAGAACTCTCTTCCATCTGCATCATCAGAAATTTCATCATATACAAGGTGCACTCCTTGTTGCTGAAGTTCGGATAGTACAGCACTCCTGTCTGTGCCTGTGTTAATCCTATATAGACCATTCTAACCAAGATGACATGTACTGTAAGTTTGTTGCATTTGCTCTCTGCCTGTCAGGGTCTGTTTTTATGTTGGGTCCACCGGAGGCCACCCTGCTGCTCTTGGTTTAGTCTTTGGTAAAGAGATCATAGAATATGTATATGTATTCTCAACTTTATACAGGAGAATGTTGCAGTGCTGGAGATTCATGGTGCCACTGCTGCTTTGCTGTGACCAAACTTGGCCTCACATAAAAAGTCTGGCAAAGTTGTTCTGCTAATAGTGAATGCCGTTGCTTTGGTAAGAGGTGGAGTGATCTCCATTGGCTTGTTCACTAGGTGGAAATCTAGGAATGCTGAAACATCTTTTCTGTAATATTTAGACTTGCAGTCATTTGCCGTAAAGTAGTTACTCTGCTTTTTCATATCTTGAAAATCCTCTCTCAGTAGACTTCCGTCCTGCCCACCGAAAGCTTCCAGCCAAAGAAATCTAGATAGCAGTAAGCTATCGAGAAGGTGTCTGGAAGGCTAATGTCTGCATTCTAGTATTCCTTTTTTCTGTTGCCACTGCTGTCATTAGGAAACTGTGAGCATCTCTTACAGGCATCCCTCCCTCTTAGGACTTCAGTGTTCCAAATCAAGTCTTCCTGAGCTGCTGCTTTTTTGGGAAGGTACTAGAACTTTTCTGGGAGAGGTATTTGTCTGTCTTGGACTGTTAAGTGAAATCTTGTTTTGAAGGATGGCAGAAGAATAGTGAAGCAAGATAAAGAAATCATGTGGATCTAAGTATATTTCACCACTTCGTCCACTTAAACGTGTGTTGGCAGGTGCTGTGTACTATGAAGGGCTGGTTCCTGTTTTAAATGCTCGTACCTGAAGTGGGGTAGCTTCAGATCTTTGTCCTGAGGATCACTCCTGTGGTTCATGGGAGTTCATGGAATGAAATGTACAAGGAAGGTTCTTCAAGCTGCACATGAGCCAGTTAATTTCTCTGTTCTTTATCTGAGATCTTTCAAAGCACAAAAAGGGTTGTTGGGCACTTAAAGACTCTTCTTGCACTCCTTAACCTCCTGAAACCCCAGTCTGTTGGATTATTCCATCTTTTACATGTACAGCATTTGCCAATCATTTATAAAGACCCTGCTCAGTAATACTGCAATTTTGTTTTGCTTGGGGTTTGAACTTCAGGAAGGTGTTTATTGCATCTGTTTTCTGTGGGATGGAGCTAAAGAAAGGATGAAGTACTACTGCTAGGAAGGATTTTTTGCATCATGCTGTTATACTCGGTGTCCAGCCTAGTCACAGGAAGTTTAAAACTACTTTGATAAACTGGAAAAATGAGTTTATTAAAGTCCAGTTGTGAGAAGGGTTTGTATTAAGGAAGACTTGCTTCAGATGTGATGTTGAGGCATTGGGAGCAGACTGATACTGCCTATTAAGATCTTGTTTTCTAAGCACTGGGATGATGAAGGCATCAGATTATCAGATAGTACTGTGCTCCACTTACTTTTCACCTTCTGTCATGATTTAGCAGATAGTTATCTGCTATACATAAGCCTACATGTAGGTTGAAACAAAGATACGATAACTGTGATCCATTTTCATAGTTCAAGATGCTTTAATGTGCTTGATATCACTACATTTTGTGATGGGAACTTTGAAGAATCCTGAGGATTTCCCACATGTGCATTCAATAGCATCTTTTGAATGATTTAAGAAAGTCAACACAATTACTTCATTTCCAGTTTCTCCTAGTGAATTACATGAATAGGTGTGGTGTTTATATCTGAGATTTTGCGGAACGACTGTAATATTTGGTGCGAATACTAGTCAAACAGAAGTGATCCTGCAAAGCTTCATGGCACAGATTGTCCATCAGCTGATCAGGTGAGCTTACAGACAGGTAATTCTCTGATGCAAAATAGCAAGCTTTCCAGCAAGCCTGGTAATTTAACAATGCTTCCTCTTTCTTAGAAGAAATACAACTTCTATACAGCAAACGATTGGAGAGGTTCTTAAGCACCTGTTGACCTGGTCTGTCTGTCAGCATGGCAGTGAATGTAGATGGTTGCTGTTTGGCAAAGCTTCCTATGACCATGGACTAACACTGATTGGATGTGGCAAATTTCTAAATTGTGAGAACTTACAATTACTGTATCTGACAAAGAGGAAAAAAGTAGGAACCAGGAACCGTGATCAGTTTTGGTAGTTGTATGCTAGCTGTTTTCAGGTTGGTGGCAGTCAGTTACGTGTGTGATATTCTCTACCTGGTTTGTAGCTGTAACTGTGATGTACAGATAAAAGAAAAAAAAATGGGGAGGGGGGGAAAGCCAAAAAACCCACCAAAAAAAAAAAGAAAAAAAAAAAAGAAAAAAAAAAACCCAAGAAAAAACCAAACCCCAAACACCCCCCACCCCCCTCACCAGACACCACAAAACAATCTCCCCTCCTCCAAGAACTCGTGAAAACAGAAGCAAATAATGCAATGATATAAGATACACACTTTTGTATTTTTATTCTTATAAGGTTATTTGCTGGCTCTTGTTGGCCTCTAGTTCAGTCTGTGTTATTTAAATTCTAATATATGAATTATTTGGATTGAATTCATGTTCGGGGCCATGGTGTTGTATGTATTGATGTACAGCCTTGAATGTGAATAATTATTGTAAACTATATTTTACACCTTTTTCTGGCTTTATTATATAAATTTTCTATTGGTCGATGATTTAATCATATCTCATAATTTAATGACTGTTTATTCTCCTCTCGACAGATCTCTGTGCTGTAGATGTGTAGTTAGTGACTGGATGATGGATTTCACTTACGCTTGGTAGTCTGTAATAAAGGCATGTAGGGTCCTGGCCCGGCCTCGCCTCTTCCTTTCGCGGGGGGT